GCCATGATTTGACAATGTGGTGCTACATTAAATATTTGCTAATGAAGTATTAAATATACTTAATAAATTCGTCTCGCAGTTTTCCCGACGGAATCTGTAATTTGTTTTGTTATTAGACTACGTTTAATACTTCAAATGTTTGTCCGAATATCCGATGTGAGTCATGTGACAATCAAACCTAAAAATTTTCCTCAACTAAACAAGGCCTAGATGTTTCCTCCCAGCTGCCCACCACCTCAAATCATATACTACATGTGGATTTGTCTCAAATTTTTTACTTTTATTGGATGACATTTTATGAAGAAAATACATTGTTAATTGGATTGTATTTTTGGCCTCGCAGTAATTTATCCGGCTTCCATTGCAAAGCACGGACAATATATTAGATAATATTAAATGAAACACTGTGGAGTTCCTTGAATATATTAAAAAGAAAAAAAAAAGGAGGGTGGAAAGGGCCAGAAGGGTAGGGAGGAATGGCTTAGCTGTTCCTGCTACACCACAATGTTTATCTGTAAGGTGCCGTACCAAGAACAGTCCCCTGCATTTCTCTCGTTGAGAGGCTGGGTGTGGGCATGAAGGGGACAGTTGGGATCAGATCAATCCGAGGACCAAAACCACACGCAGAATTTCTCCTCATTCTGATAATTAATAAGCACCCAACTGTGGACCATATGGGTAAGTTGAGGAGAGCAAGAGATATACTCCCGGCCCTCTAGTGAAATAACGTCTAATTTTTACTGTCAAACTGTTGAAATTTTAAATATTGATAAATGTTAAGATACTTAGTTTGAAACCATAGAAATGGTATATAAAGATTTGTGATGAAGAGTACTTTCATAGTTGCATAAATTTGTTAGCTTTTGTAAAACTTTATTCTAATAAAAAGTTCTTGAAGTCGTGTCCTGGAGACATAACAAATCAAACATCGCATGTTTTTAACGGGAAGGAGTATATCATGTGGGAATCACTTGGCATCAGATATTTAGGTGATTGAAACCGAGAGAAATTTAGTTCATGTCACAATCCTATGGCTAAAAGATATTTTTCAACCTCTAAAACAACGGGAGCCAAGAAGACAAGACAGGGAGGAATGTGTCAGGTAGCTTACCAGTGACGATGATTACAACCACCGCCTACTTCTAGCGCTAGAGACGATGACCATCTATTTCTCGAACCAAAAGCCTAAATTAGGGTTTCAGGGTTAAAGGTGAATCGGGGAAGGTGGGTAGACAGGAGGGCCATGATGCGCGAATATAGAGGGAATCTGTAAGATTAATGGGCTAGGCCCAATTAATCCGGGAGATGATCATTGGCATGCTCTTGAAAGAGTAATGCGCTATCTAAAAGGGACAATGAGCTATGGAATTTACTACGCCGGGTATCCAAAAGTGTTGGAGGGCTATAGTGATTCAAACTGGATATCTAGTACTGATGATGTCGGAGATATGGGCCCGGGGGTATAAGAAGTAGAGGGGAATTACTTTCCCTCTGGCCACGTGACTCTGCAGGTTGGCCCCACTCGCGCGCCATGCGAGTCGTAGAAGCGGCGGGGGGGGGGGGGGGGGGGGGGCCTCGGGGCATGACGTCACCCCCTCGGGCTCTCCCACGGCTTCGCCCCGAGGCCCTCGCCCGGCTGCCACGCGGCAGAGGGAGAGAGCAAGAGGGGAGCGCAGGCTGAACGGCCATAAATGTGCAACGCCCCAACTGTCCTTTACCGCATTTAATGCGGTCAAGGCAGACGTGCGGCGCGCCTAGCTAATCCCTGTCCATCGGATGTGACCGGCCCGTCTCCGTCATATCCGATGGATAGGGCAATCATGTCCTCACGTCGCCCTTGTCCCCGGCGGAGTGGGGGTGGGTATGACCCGTCACATCCGGGCGTCACTCGAGGAAGGGCTGTTGCATGTCACCGTTCATTTATGAGGGAATGACAGGGCTGTCCCCCGTGTCAAACGAGGGACGGCGCCGGGTTCCGCTCAAGAAACGGTTATTGCTTAGCTTCCGGGAGAAGGCACAGTTTGAAGCCCAAAAAAAAAAGGGTGGAGTGGGGTTCCCCCCCCCCCCCCGGTTGAGGATAGGTAGAGGCGGCACATGTGGTATCCCCTTAAGCTATAAAAGGAGGACCCTGCCCACTGAGAAGGGGGACGATGCCCAGAATACCTGAACTCCAGAAGACAGAAAGCAAGTGCGCTCTCTGGAGTGAAGAAACCCTTGTAAAACTCATCCATAATCCCAAACACAGGAGTAGGGTGTTACGCTCTTTAGCGGCCCGAACCTGTATAATCTGACTGAGTGCAAACTAGCCAGTAGTCCTAGGGACGAGCAAGCGACTTTGAAGAGACGAGCCTCCGCCCCCAGCCGAACTCACGAAAGGGGGGTCTCACGACTCCCCGCTATTGAGGGTCTTCCCTCGACAGATGAGATAAAGGCCACAAGTGGCTATGTGTTCACACTTGGAGGTGGCGCTGTTTCCTGGAAGTCTTGCAAGCAGACCATCTTAACGAGGTCAACAATGGAAGCAGAGCTTACAGCTTTAGATACTGCCACACTTAAGGCCGAATGGCTTCGTGAGCTCCTGATGGACTTGCCGGTGGTTGAAAAACCAGTACCAGCAATCCTGATGAACTGTGATAATCAAACAGTGATTATTAAAGTGAACAGTTCGAAGGACAACATGAAGTCATCCAGGCATGTTAAAAGAAGACTGAAGTCTGTCAGAAAGCAGAAAAACTCCGGAGTGATAGCATTGGACTATGTCCAGACGACTAAAAATCTGGCAGATCAGTTTACCAAGGGGCTACCACGTAATGTGATAAACTGTGCATCGAGGGAGATGGGCTTGAGACCCACTTAGAGTTGCACAATGGTGGAAACCTGTTCATTGTGATCGGAGATCCCGTGAATTTAGATGGCGAAACAAACTATTGTGTAACTAAGAGAAGAGACCCTAAAATGGGCTTATCTTCATGATGCACTTCTCTTCTAATTTGTATGGTAGGATGGTATACACCTTAATGTGATCCGAGTGGCTTTTCATAAAGCAGAGATGTTGGCCTATAGAACATCTTAGAAGGAACACACCTATATGAGTCCGACTGCTAGTCACAGTCTATGAGATCTGGGTGATCTCTAGATACTCATGAAAAGGCCAGGAGTATGACTTATACGCTCCAAACAGAGGGGATGCAAACGGCAGCCTAGTACCAGTTAAGGGTTTGAGTGAAACCTGAATCGCACAAGACTGACAATTCAAGGCATAGTCTATTGTTCAGTTGTGATCTGGTGTAGCTCTTTTCCTAGGTGGAAGTTCAACTTAACAGTCTCCACCAAAACGCTGGTATAACAAACAGGATCAGAATCGAGAGCATTTCCTGTGAGCCATGAAATTTGGTGGGGATTGTTAGATTAATGGGCTAGGCCCAATTAAATCCTAATAAATTCCATTGGCCCACATTAAGTGCTATAGGTAATAATACCACCTTGGAAATCTAAGTGAAGAGGTCTCAACTTAAATACAGAGCTAGTGGAGAGTCTCTGTTGACCGGTTGAGATGGTGCGCGGACAACCAGGCGGGGCGGGGCGAGGCGAGGCGAGGCAGACAGCTGCTGCTGCGCTCTCTTGTTTTGTAACGGACGGTAATAAACACGGAGAATTGATTTTGTATCAATAAACGCTTCGGTTACGGAATTAAACGTCGTGAATTGATTCTGTCGGTTACGGAATTAAACGCCGTGAATTGATTCCGTATTAACGAGCGCGTCGGTTACGAAATTAAACGCCGCGGTTGATAACTCCGAACGTTACTCTCGCGCTCGCATATATATACTCCGCAGCGACCAGAAGGACAGAAGAAGTTCTTCACGACTCTTGCACTTCGAGTTCCTCCTCCTCTGTTCCTGAGCTGCAGAATCCTTCCCCGGTTCTGTTCACCTGCGCGCACAGGTGTACGGGACGAGCAGGTGCCTCTGGAACTTCGTCCGCTTGAGAACTTGCACGGGTAGGCGGGCGATCAAGTTTTTGGGTAGCACGACTGCTCTTGTTCTTCATGGCTACTGCTGCTGCATCGGCGCCTTCACCAAGATGTCAACGGAGATTGGAGACAAGAAGATGAACGACATCAACGGAGTCAATACTGCCTTAAAATCCAGCGGTGGGACGTTCTTGGGGTATACTTTCATTCTCCCGATTCTATTAGATGTTTCTTTGTTAATACTCTTCGCAATGGCAGCATTGCGTTACTATATAAATGTTGATGCTTATTTTATATTAAGCATACTCAAGTTGTATATATCTAGCATTGTCACTAGATCTACTCATATTGCAAATGTCATGTTTATTGTCTTAATATTTTAGATTAAAATATGCCGAATTATGACCAAATTTCCAACAGAATCAAGGCAACGGTTGAGCGGCGATGGGTGGTAAACACAGGGCATGTAGTAAGGTGGCGGTGGTGCCACCAAATCCGAGTGGTTAGGAAACGGGGTCGGCGGTGGCATCTCGGATGGAATGAAGGGAATATCGTGGGGGTAGAGAACGCCTTGCCGCGTCTCGACATAGGGGGGAGGAGTGGTGAGGATAGTTAGAAAGGAGGAGGCCGATTATGGAGGTCTCGCCCGGTGGCGAGGGAGACATCAGCGATGTAGAGGAGACCAATGCACAAGGTGGAGGACAACAGCGGTGATATGAACAAGCATGAGCCTCGCCCGTTCTTCCGCATGTTACACGTCACTAGGAGAGGAGAGAGAAAATGATGATGTTGGAGGAGTAATAATATTGTAGCTGCACGAATCTGGCTTGATCTGGACCCTCGAAAACCGACTGAAATTTTGTGGAGTAGTATTTTCAGGTGACTGACAAATCCCATAATAAACCAGTATTTTGTCTGTATGTACTGTAGCAAAAAAAGGACACAGCACTCCCAACTCCCCCATCTCTCTTTCTCAGAGTACTCTGCCTGTCCCTGTGCGTGTGAGAGGTGTTATAAATTTTTGGCAAGTGTGGTTTTCTCTCATTCTCTGTGGTGGCCTGGCCGCACAAGTCACAGCCATACAGGGAGAGAGAGAGAGAGATCACTTCACAAGCAAGAATGGAAGCACCTCCTTGTTGCCACTCCAAGATCCTTCACTACCATAGCTAAGCTAGCTACTCGTATCCTCTTCTCTCTCTGCTTCTGCTCTTCCGACGAGTAGAGCATAATCCATCCGGAGGAAGAGAGTGCAATCGATCAGCTGAGCTAAGCTTGCCTGGTGATCGATCGATCACGGAGCTCGCCACCGGCGGCGGCGGAGGAGGAGACGATGGATGAGCAGCTGAGCCCGGTGGCCGTGACGCACTTGCTGCAGCACACGCTGCGGAGCCTCTGCACCAGCGGCGACGACTCCCAGTGGGTCTACGCCGTCTTCTGGCGCATCCTCCCCCGCAACTACCCTCCCCCAAAGTGAGCAAGAGATAATCACGTTTAGTTTAGCCATGCGCTGATGCTGCTGCTGCTCCTGATGCTTTGGCTAATGATTGTTTTTCTGGGTTTGTTGGTTGCTAAATTCGGTTGACCCAGATGGGATCTCCCCGGTGGGGCATACGACAGGACAAGAGGAAACAGGAGGAACTGGTAACTGAAGTCTACTCCACTACTCTGCTTCGTCTTCTTTGCTCTTGCTACTACTACTCTACTAGCTTTGTGTCTCATTTGCAAACAAAAAAAAATCGCCTAGGATCTTGGCGTGGGAGGACGGGTTCTGCAACTTCGCGGCCACCTCCGCCGCCTGCGGCGACGGCGCGGCGGCGGCTTACGCGGCCGCGGAATGCGAGGAGACGAAGCAGGTTGGCGTCGCCGGCGGCGGCCTGCAGCCTGAGCTCTTCTTCAAGATGTCCCATGACATCTACAACTACGGCGAAGGGTACGTATACGTATCAAAGCTACGTAATAAGCAGGTAATGGTGATTAATCGTTGGCGATGATGAGATGCTGCAGGTTGATAGGGAAGGTGGCGGCGGACCACAGCCACAAGTGGGTGTTCAAGGAGCCGCAGGAGCAAGAGATCAACCTCATCTCCTCCTGGAACAACCCTGCCGATTCTGTAAGCAAAAAGCAAAGCAAAAGCATAATCTTTTCCATCGATTAAACCGCTGTCATAATATTGCTGCAGGTTTGGTTGCAGTGTCTCGTCTGATTTGAACTCTTCTATCTTTTGCAGCATCCGAGGACATGGGAGGCGCAGTTCCAGTCTGGTATCCAGGTAAGTTAAAGTGGAGCTTAGCTTAGCTGCAGGCTAGTGTAGTGGTGATCTTGGAGGCCGGCCTTGACAGATCGCCATCGAGGCTCTGGCCGGCTGGCTGCTGCTTTTGATCAAAGCTCTGCTTCTGCTTCTGCTTCGGCTTGTGCAGCTGATGCTGCTACTGATGCCTCTGTCTTTTGCCCGTGCTGCAGACCATCGCCCTGATCGCTGTCAGAGAAGGCGTCGTGCAGCTCGGCTCCATGAAAAAGGTGCACCACCACAACCACCACCCGTCTTTTTCCTCCACGCTTTCGATCAAGTTGTTGTCTTCTTTTTCTCACACCAAGAATGCATGCTTAGCTCACGTGGAGAGCTTAGCCGAAGATTGCATGTATGGTATGGGTGAATGGTGATGGTCATGGCGGCTGTGATTTGTGAATGGTTTGGTGGTGCAGGTGGCGGAGGACCTGAGCTACGTGGTGGCGCTGCGGCGGAAGTTCGGGTACCTGGAGAGCATCCCGGGTGTGCTGCTGCCACACCCGTCGTCGGCGGCGGCGGCGTTCCCGGGAGGGCCGCCGGACGCCGCGGGGTGGCCAGCCGGAATGATGGTGTCGCCGCCGGTGCCACCGGAGCTCTACGTCGACCCCTACGGCGGGGCGGCGGCCGGGGCCGTGCCGCCGCCGTCCATGCAGATAATGCCGTCGATGAGCAGCCTCGAGGCGCTGCTCTCGAAGCTGCCCTCCGTCGTGCCGGCGGCGGCGGCGCCCTCGCCGCCGCCGGGGTCGTCGTCCATGCCACCTACCGGCGCCGCCGCCGCGTCGTCAGCGCCGCCCAAGGAGGAAGCGGCCGAGGACGACTACGTCCATTGCCACGGCATGGACATGGCGACGTCGTCGACCAACGGCGGCGGCGAGAGCACCGGCGGCGCTCCATTGCCGTCGTCCTACTTCGTCAACGTGGGCGTCAAGCCCAGCGAGGGGTTTTAGCCTCAGTCCCTAGCTAAGCTACAGTTAGCTTAGCTACTAGCTACCTCTTCCTCATGCCTCTCTCTCAAAGTGTACGTGTAGTCTCGTGTACTATTATTACCTGTGGGCGCCAAGGCATGGCAATGCATGGCAATGGTGTTCATTCATGATCATATCTCTAGTGTCAATTAAATTCAATTAATGAATTAATCACTTGCTAATTGAATCCCAGATTCCCAATCATTTGGTATAGCGAGAGATTCGATCGATCGGGATGTACGTACGCTGAAGTACTAAAGTTAGTACGACTGTACATTCATCCGTGTACTATCGAATTTGTCACATTCATTTCGATCAGTAGGTGTAGGTGTACGTATGTACGTACGTAGGGGGTACTAGTATATGGGTTGGGAGATGAGATGACACCTGAGGAATAATTAAAAGGTCACACGACAATGGCAATGGATTGGCATGGCATGGCATAGCACGGCCCCCTCCAACGACGTGTCGTTGTGGTGCAGAGCCTTTGACCGGTCATTTTTCCGGGGCCGAAATGCCCAACACACCGCATATTCGAACGATTCATTCATGCACGTTTCAACTCAACGGACGGTCGTAGGATTTTCACACGAATTAGAATAAACCTGGTATTCTAGCAGTAACAGACGACAGACAGATCTGGGAGGCGATCGAAAGTTTGATGATGAAACAGAGGGGGATTTTCATTTCATCAGATTCAGTCAATCGCATCGATCGGGTTGGTCGTTGGTCCCCCAGCGCGCGCGCGGGGTGGAGAAAAAGACGGGCAAATCAAATCTGTGGCAGCCGATGGGCCCCCGTGCGCCATCATGGCCCTGACCGCCGCGCGATTACTCTCGCTCGCGCTGTTGCTCCTGCTGCCGCCCGCCATGAGATGGTGGCGGCGTGGCGCTGCTGGTGGTCGGTCGATCGACGCCGTACGTAGCTGCAGTGCACTCCTTCCATCTCATTAAAAAAAACAAACCTAATACCTATATGACACTCCAGGTTTATACTACGATTCATTTTAGGCCCCGTTTAGTTTCCAAAAGTTTTTCCTAAAAACATCACATCGAATCTTTGGACACATGCATGGAGCATTAAATATAAATTAAAAGAAAAACTAATTGCACAGTTTGGGGGAAATCGCGAGACGAATCTTTTGAGCCTAATTAGTCCATGATTAGCCATAAGTGCTACAGTAACCCACATGCGCTAATAACGGATTAATTAGGCTCAAAAGATTCGTATCGCGGTTTCCATGCGATTATGAAATTAGTTTTTTCATTTGTGTCCGAAAACCACTTCCGGCATCCGGTCAAACATCCGATGTGACACCCAAAAATTTTCATTTCGCGAACTAAACAAGCCCTTATTATGGGACGGATAGAGTATTATCGTTGTGTCAAATCGTGACTCGTGAGTAAGATCGTTCTCCTATCCGTTCTAAAATATAGTAATCTAAAACCGGCCGGAACCTATCCTACTACACCTATATAACAAAATAAGTCACTTACACCCTTAGGACATGTTTAGTTCGCGAATGAAAATTTTTGGCGTGTCACATTGGATATAAGGACACACATTTGAGGTATTAAACGTAAACTAATAACAAAATAAATTACACATTCCGCATAAAAACTGCGAGACAAATTTATTAAGTCTAATTAATCCGTCATTAGCAAATATTTATTGTATCATCATATTGTCAAATCATGGCGCAATTAGGTTTAAATAATTTGTCTCGCAATTTACACGCAATCTGTGTAATTAGTTTTTTTTTCCATATTTAATACTTCATAGATGTGCTCAAACATCCTATGTGATTCCTGAAATTTTTTTGTTTGGTAATCAAACAGAGCCTTAGTCGCGCCGCTGCGTGTCGAGGTCGTCGTGCGCGATTGGTAGAGCGCGGGCGGGCGGCAATGGGATGGCGCTTGGTTGGTTCGCGCGAAATCAACTGAACAGTCGTCGTGCGTTCCGCACGGGCGGCGCGGGGTTTTTCTCCGGCGCGCCGGCGCGCCGGCGCGCGATCTGTGTGTCGGGTGTCGGCTGTCACTCGCGTTCGCGGTGGCGAGCGAGACCGGAGGAGGATGGGGGGGGGGGGAGGCGGGGCGACGGGTTTGTTGGCTTGCGGCGGCAGAGGATCCGTGCGGGGATCCGTGCAATCATCGTGGTGGCATGGGCGATCGATCGGCGTGAGACCGACCTCACCGAGCCCGACCGGGATCACGGCGAGCGGGTTGGGTATTGAGGGGGATGGAGACGTGGACGAGTTCCAATCTCATCCGTGCTGATTGATGATGGCTCTGTGTGCCGATCGACGTGACGGACGTGTTTTGTCATCGTGTAGAAGGGGCGCATATGACACATTTTTTGTGTCGGAAGAAGATGTGGCGTCCGGGAGAGCCGATGGGCTTGCTAGCCCATCAGGACCCACGGCTCAAGAAGCATGGTTAGTGTGAGTGTGAGTTGTGAGGAAAAAGTACACCCAAAGTCCCTCATCTTATCATCGAATTACAAAATCATCCCTCAACTATAAAACCAGATTTAGGTCATTTAATGGTTTTGACTCTGGTTTTATACGAGGTGACGGCTGAGTCAGCGTGAGACCCAGACCACATCAGCACCCTCTCTCGTCCCCAGCGAAAAAAAGAAAACGAAAGGGCACTGATGGATGGAGACGTCGGCTGCGCGCCGGCCACTGCACCTGCACGGCCTCGCCGCCGCACGGCCGCCCCGGACCGCGCCACTACCTGGGCCGCGCCTTGCACTGAACTCCGCTGCGTCACGCCGGTCGTCGCCCAGCCGCGCCGCCGCGCCTCCCCGACCACACGAAGTCAACGGGAAAGGAAAATGAAGAAAGAAAAAAAAAGGAAAAGGGCGGAGCAGCGAGCAGCCATGGCCGCCGTGCCGCCGGCACTCGCCGCGCCATGGCCGCTCGGCCGCATCCCGCGCCGAGCCGCCGCTCAGCCGTATCCCGCACCCACACGGCCACCGGCGTTGCCGCACAGCGCCGTGCTAGGCCGCTACACCGCATCCGCCGTCCGCGGCGTGCTCGCAGCACCGCGCCATGGCCGCTTGACCGCCCCCACGCCGCCCCGCATGGCGTGGCGCCGTGAGCCGCCGGCCCGCTGCACGCCAGCCACCACGAGCCCGTGTCCTAGCCGCGCCGCCGCCGCGTGTCCGCGTCGCGGCCGCCGCCTAGCTGCCACCGCGCCCCGCCGTCGGCTGCCGTCACGCCGTGCGCCGCACCCCGCCGACGCACGGCCGGCCCTCACCGCGCGCCGCGTGCCGCCGCCACCCCTCGTCGTCCTCAGTGCGCCGCGCCGCCGGTGCGCTAGGTCCCTGCATGGTTGGCACCTTGTTAACGTCGAATGTGGTTGGTCTGCAGCAGGATGGCATCCCCCATAGCTGTACTGCGGCCACTAGCCACAGCCCATCTGTTCCAACAAAAAAACATAAATTTACGAGTCGATGCAGGCTATTAGCAACAATTCAGCTTCTAATCTGCAAGAATTTACACACACACTTACAGATTGTGAAGAATTTGAGCGGGTGTGAGGCTGTGAGCTGCAGAAACGGAAAGGGGAAGAAGCACCAGATGAGCAAATAAAATCCAAGAGACAATGGCGGAAGCTAGCAAAGAAATGGAGGGAAGGATGGGTTCACCGGCTATTCTGCCGGCCGGCCGCTGACCTTCTTCCTCTCCACGCGCACTCGCCGGCCGGCGAGGGAGATCGGCGGGGAGAGGAGCGGGAGGCAAGCCACCGCCGTCCTCGCCCGCCTCGGGACGTCGCCGGATACCCACCGCCTCCACTCTGAGTGCGTGGCTGCGTGCTGCTCTTCCATCCCCCAGGAGCAAGCGAGCGGCGGCCCCAAGTCGTCGTCGTGCTCCGCGTCGCCGACCGCCACCCATCGCGCCAACCCTCCTCTCAGCCGCGCTCCTCCCTCGCCGGCCGTCGCGCGCCCGTCACGCTCCTCCCCTGCCGGCCGGCCGTGCTCCCTAATAGGAGAAAGTGAGAGAGAGAGAGAGAGAGAGAGAGAGAGAGAGAGAGATGAGAAAGGGAGAGGAGGGGAAAGCGAGAGAGGATGCTGACGTGGCATCATGACATGTGGGGGCCATATGGGTCCCACGCTGACTCAGCCGCCATGTCGGATAAAACCGGGGTCAAAACCACCGAAGGACGTAAAGGGAATGGTTTTGTAAGTTGAGAGATGTCATATATCTGATTTTGCGATTGGGGGATGATTTTGTAATTCGATGACAAGTTGAGGGACCTTGGGTGTACTTTTTCCGAGTTGTGATGGATCGTGGCCCAGAAAGTCTTCTGGTAATAATCAACGAACAAGTCTGTTTTATTTCCCTCATCTCTCGAAAATGCTTGATTCGTCCCCCCAACTGTAAAATCGGATATAATACCTATATATTTAAAAATTGATGCAAATCGACTTATTCTATGGTTTGGGAAGCGGTTTTTGCTAACATGGTAGGCTTATCATAATTGACTCGTTGAGTCAGTAGGTTGAGTCGGCAGATGGCTCACCCCACTGTCGAAACAAGATTTCGGCAATAATAAAAGGGGTGGCTATCAAGCTAGGAAAGTGGATGGGTTTGGAGACAAGGAGTTTTATACAGGTTCAGGCCTTCTTATTCAAGAAGTAATACCCTACTCCTGTCCGGGGATGATTCCGCCGAGTGTGTTATTGATTGTATGATTGGGAAAAAAAAGAAAAACGTGCCCCAAGAGGCACACGGACCCTCCTTATATAGGAGAAGGGATCCGTAATACAAGGTACAGTCCATATCCTAACGGAATATGGGATTACAGATAAAATACAATCGTAGCCGACTAGGATCCCGGGTATTTTCTTGCCATACAAGTTTAGAATATAACCCGAGTCCTCATAAAGATATTCTATCTATATTTGGTACCATATATCCGACTAAAGTATAACTGTCATGCAGATATGGGGTATCCATAATCTCCACAGTAGCCCCCGAGACCTTCGCAGTTGACGAAACAACCTTCTCGAAACAAAAACCAGTAGTCCGAGTGCTTCAATTCAACTTGCTCCAGCTTGCCGAGTACTAAAAATCAAAAACTGTGAAGGGCGAAAATAAAACATGGTGCATTGAGTAGATGCACCTAATTAGGTGTAGCCCCCGACTATGTGATTAGTTGTAAAACTAAACATATAGTCAAGAACCGAGTGGTTTTATAGCGAAGCACGCATGGTACTTAGTAAGATACCCAGCCGACTGGTTCTCAACTTGAATATATCAAGGACAAAAAATACAAGAAGGGCCGAGTGACCAACACTCAAAAGGCCCAAAAATAGATATATTTGGTAGGAATCCGAGCAAGAAACTCTTAAAATGATCCACCAAACATGACAGAAAATCATGGTAATTAATGAGTCTAACAGCCTAGGCTGTGACCCTTACCATAACCAAAATAAGCATATAACATGCTAGGAGAATGACTACTAATAAACCAGTCATCTCAAACTAACCCAACAGCTCTTGTAGCCTAAAAAAGCTTACAAAAATGGTATAACACCTTTCTGTCGAGCACCTTTTCATGTGCATCATAATAATTCCAAAGAATTATTGAATCGCGTTAAAAAGGATTTTAACAGCATCGGGCCACATCATTGTGAGCTCATATTGCCAAAGCAAAAAGCGCCTAAGTCCCTAGGGATCACAACGGGCCACGCTGAAAACATAATTGGGCTGAAGTACTGTACAGGCCCAGGCCCATTAGTACTCCCGATACCCTAATAATACCGAAGTGAAAAACGTCTCTTCGTCTTCCTCGCCGAGACTCTCACCATTTTCCCCATTTCCTGCTACAGTGCAAAACTGCGCCGGGCAAACTAGGGTTCATTAATCCGCTCCAATCCACCCTCAAAAACTTCACAAGATTTTTCCCCGCATCCACCGCTCCGATTCCCCATCCCTTTCCAGCCATATCTCGAACTAAATCAATCCATCCAGTTCATATTCATGGCGGAAGAAAGAGAAAGCTTCGAGAGTCAGTAGGCGCCCTCTGATGTGACGGAAGACAATCTGAAGGAGATGGTGGCACACGGCGTTCTTCCAGCAAAAGAGATCATCGGGTGGCGACCGGCATTTGGTGAGGCATTCCCGACCCCCGATACACACGAAATCATGGTATTTGCTCATTTCTTCTATGGCGGATTTTCCCTTCCAACCTCGAGATTTTTCCGGGGCATTCTGAACTTCTACGGGATTAGCTTGCATCACTTGAATCTAAACTCCATAGTACATATTGCCAATTTTATCCACGCCTGCGAAGCTTTTCTGGGCATTAGGCCTCATTTCGCCTTGTTCCGCCGCATCTTCTTCCTCAAGCCCCAGCCAAACAAAAGCAAGCCGTGCGTTGTTGGGGGAGCTGGTTTCCAACTTAGAGGAACCTTGAGCCAAAAATATTTCTCCATGCCCTTCAAAACCTCGAACAAAGGCTGGCATGCGAACTGGTTCTATGTTCAGAATCCTGAGCCCGCACTCCCCGAGTACTGCTGTCTTCCTCCGGTTTACCAGGACACATGGAACTCATTGCCTATAGGAGATGAAGCTGCTCAGGCAGTAGAACTGATGGAGAGGATGATAAAGCTGAAAGAACAGGGTCTTCAAGGAGAGCAGATCACCCGGCACTTTATCAAGTGTCGGTTAGCTCCAATCAAAGAAAGATCCCGCACAGCTTTTGAGTTTGATGGCAAGCATGATTCAAATCGGGAAGATCCAGATTCTCTTGACTTTAAGGTCATGAAAGAAAGAATGTACAAAATCTTCTCAAACGCTATTGTTGTCAGCTATTCACATCTGCTGCCCGTTGTGCCATTCAACGCATTCAACCCTCCTCCACTGGTATGCACTCAAACATTTCATCCTTCCTCAAAATATGATCTTGTCTTCCTGTTGAATCAATTAACAATGAAAGATATTACACCCAGGAATTTGCTTTGATGAAGTCGGATCCCCCGATCGCTCAACGCCGATCTCCCCGCCACCAAACTGGGCAAGGGAGCGGAGGACCAAGAATTCGGTCGGAAACTCAACCAAGTACTTCTGATCCAGTCGGCCAGTTAGACTCTCGAAAGAGGAAGCTGGTTTTAAGTGACGACGAAACCGATGATACTACCAGGAGGCCTGGAGACCGAGAGACAACCAAGAAACTACCAAAACAGGCTACTCCAAGGAAGAAAACATCCAGTCGCCCTGCGCCAAAGATCAGGAAGTCTTCTAGGTACAACTCATATAACGATCTCTCTTGCATTGATGCGCATCCATTGCGGCAATAACACTGATAATCAAATTTGCAGGAAACCATCTGATATAGATCCGTCTGGGAAAGATTCTGACCCGACTAGCGTGGACGCAAGTTCTTCCAGAGAAACCGGGCCAACTGCCGAGGACCGTCCGAGTGACAATCAGCCAGCAACCGATAATGTAGAATCCGGTGATCAACCCCCGACTAGAAACCAGTCGGCCGAAGCCGAAGCCGAAGCCGGAGTTAATCAGGAGCCCCCGACTGGAAACCAGTCGGACGCAGGGCCAAGCCAAGAGATTCCAGAAGTTGGAGCTCAAGCAGGCAGCCTTCGCGGTCAAGACGCCAGCAATAACCAGAGATCTGGATCTCCTTTAAAGGCATCCGAATCCACTCGTCCTCGTCCAGAAATCATTACGGGTAAAACACTTTGTCTGAAACCATGTCGACCCAAATAACTCTGACCAATTGTCTAACCTCTGTCAGTGGATACATTAGGGCCAATGATCAGTGATGAAGAAGAAATTCCCCACATACAAGCAGCTGAGGATTCACGCCCTCCGATTCTGGTCAAGTGGTGGGATGACAACATGCAGCCTCAAGGGATCGTGATAAATAAGCAAAAAGAAGACGAAGAGTTATGCCTACTGAAGAAGGCACTTGGTCAAGCAACCCGCATTGTAAATGTAAGCCCTCTGGTACTTGATCTCAACCATCTTGTTTGCCATTTAATTCATGCGCTAATTAAACTGTCTTGCAGAGGATTCATCTTAGGAACGAAGCTAAAACGGCAACCTTAGAGAGGCTAGTCCCTCATCTCGGGACCCTCGAAGCCACCAGGAGTCTGCTGCACGAGACAAAAGAGCTTGCTAGGAAAAATGAGCATGATCTGAGGAATCAAATTGCTGAGCTCCAGGAATCCAATTTTGAACTGAGTGGCTCATCAAAAGGTTTGCGCAAACTCTGCCCAACTGACTTATACTGTTATCTTTGCAATCTTGATTTACAGTAATCAATGTAGTGCAAGCTGCCAAGATATCTCAGTTGGAGAAGCAAATTCAAACTCTGGAAAATGACAAGGCAGAACTGGCAAGACAAAGAGACCTGGCTTTGAAGGAAGTTGAAGGTATCAACAATCAATACCTCAAAAGCCATTATCCTCCATATGCTGACTTATTAATATGAATCTGTCGATGCAGACCGCAAGATCAAATCTCAAACTCAATTCGACGTCCTGGTTGGCAAGATAAAAAAACTTGAAGGAGCCCGGGATAAGGTTGCTAACGCTGCTGTCCCAATTGTTCAAGCGATGTTCCTCAATAACAACGGCCCGAGTGCACTTGATGCTTCTGAAATTTTCGACAAGCTGAGAGTTGCTCCGGATATATATTTCAAGAACATCAAAGAAGCTGGAAGTATGGGAGCAAGCATGGCATTGGCGATGACTAAATCCCTTTATCCGAGAGTTGATATTGACGCCATTGATGGCTTTGCAGACGGGACGACGAAGAAGCTGCTCTTGACCTCATCAGTAATGCGCAGAAAGCGGCTGACAAAATTGCTGCTGATGTAGTTGAGAGATTTTAGGACACCGATCTTCGACCGACTGGTCCTGATATTTCTGATGATGAAAAGACTGATACTGATTAATGTACCGATAATCTTGATGATTAATGATGATGGAGGCACAATTTGTACAATACTGATGAATTTATGTTGTGCTCGATATCTTAACTTAGCTCTTGATTTCTTAAA